ACTGATCCTTCTGCTCAATTTGTTATACATCAAGATTTTTTGTTTAAGGGTTCTAGACTTTGCATAACTAAAAATTCTTTAAGAGAACAACTTGTAAAAGAATTGCATAGTGGAGGTTTGGATGGACATTTTGGGCAAAGGAAAATAATTGCTTTGGTTGAAGAAAAATATTTGGCCTCATATGAGAAAGTACATTGCTAAGCTGGTTAAACAAAGTAAAATATGTCAGGCTTTCAAGGGAACTTCACAAAATTCTGGTTTTTATACTCATCTGCCTATTCCAAACAAATCTTGGGAGGATATATCTATGGATTTCATTTTGGGCTTGCTTGTTACTATTCGAAAATTTGATTCTGTTCTTGTGGTGGTAGATCATTTTAGCAAAATGGCACATTTTATTCCTTGTAAGAAAACTTCTGATGCTTCTTACATTGCTGATCCTTTTTTTTAAAGAAATTGTTCGTCTTCACGGTATTCCTCGTACTTTTATTTCTTTTCGAGACACTAGATTTTTGAGTCATTTTTGGAGAACTCTTCGGGCAAAACTTGGGACTGCTCTTCAATTTAGTTGTGCATATCATTCTCAAACTGATGGGCAAACTGAAGTTGTCAATCGAAGTTTAGGAAATTTATTAAGATGTCTTGCTGGAGAAAAACTATCCCAATGGGATTTAGTCTTGCCTCAAGCTGAGTTTGCTTACAATAATTCTGTTAATCATTCTATTGGTAAAACTCCTTTTGAAATTATTTATGGACAACCTATTCCTCACATTTTAGATAGAAACTGCTTGTCTTTACCTAACAAAATTAGTGCTGAAGCTTTTGAGACTTTTGACTACATAAAGACTGTCCAACAGCAAGTCATTGAAAAACTCCAAAAAGCTAATGCTAAGTACAAATCTAATGCTGATAAACATTGAAAAGAAGTTATTTTCAATGAGGGTGACTTGGTTATGGCTTACTTTCGTCGCCAACGATTTCCTATTGGTACTTTTAGAAAGTTAAACATAAAGAAATTTGGACCTTTTCGTGTGCTTCGAAAATTAGGCACTAATTCCTATCTGTTGAATCTACCTATTTCTATTGGCACTTCTCCTGTATTTAATATTTTTGACCTTTCTTTATATGAAAGAAATTCTGACAATTCTGTAGAAATTGAAACTTTGCCACTCTCCACTTCTTTGGCAAAATCTGAAGAAGAGATTGAAGACATTATTGATGTCAGAATTTCTAAAACTAGACATGGTGAGCATAAGAGATTCTTGGCCAAATGGAAGAATCATCCTCTGACCAATTTCACTTGGATGGATGCTCATGAGTTAAAGTGATGTCATCCTGATCTTTTTCAAAAGTTACTGAAGCTTTCTCATCCGGAGATGAGAATTTCCCTCCAGGGGGGAATTGATGCAATCATAATTTATGTATTTTTATTATTGAATATTGAACATTAGTTTTAATTTAGTTTTATATTTTTTTAGCTATCCAATGATGAGAAAGCATCCAATGATCATGGTAGGTTGTGCTTGGGCTTTGGTAGACCTTTGGTTTGCTAGCTTGATGGGTCCTTTGGGCTGCTGCTGGTTATCGGGTTGGCTTATGGTTCTCGGTTTGAGCTGAAAATGATGATAGGAGGTGGTGGTTTATTGGAGTTGAGATTTATTTTTCTAAGTTGCTAGCTCATTAATGTTGAGCTGAAGTTTAGTTCATTTATTGAACTACCTAGCTCATTAATTTAAAAATGTATGCTCTTAAATTTTGAATTCAATTTGGAGTGGACTTGTCTCTTCTCCTCCCCTCTTTCTTCTCACTTCCCTGAGCTGGGTGATTTCCCGTGCTTTGTCCCTTGGGTTTCCGTGGCTAGCTGTTGGTTTCCTTTGCTGGGTGGTTTTCTCGTGACCTCTTTGGTTCTTGCTGATGGATGCTCGGTTCTGCGGTTTTCTGCTTGGTTTCGTGAATCCCCTTCTTTGTTCTGTTGTGCCATTTGGGATTTGTTGCTGTGGCTGTTGGCCTTTCATTTCCTAAAATCTAATTGGCTTATTTGGAGGTTTATGGCTGTTTGGTTCCCTACTCTTGCCTATATATAGAAGATGATTTTTATGGGGAAAGATTGTTGAAAATTATTGATGCGAGCAAAAATCCTTGGGGATAGCCCCCCCCCCCCCCCAAGAAATACTTGATCACCTCAAAAATAACAAAAGAGAGAGACTTAGGAATTAAGTAATAAGAAGAACAAACTCTTACATTTCATATAAAAAGACACTTATGAACTTTTGACTCAATCGACTCAAGCAAGACACCTTACAACTCTTACAAACGACACAAACACAAATTAAAACCTAAACCTGCTTTCCAAGAGGGAATGATACAATGGAGTGGATACTTGCGGAGATGCGAAAGAGACTAGAAGCCGAGAATAAGGATGGAAAGAACTCGCAAGTCTCTCCGAGAGGTAGAAGAAGAAGAAGAAGCTCTCAAGCTCTTCCAAGAAAATCCGCAAATTTCTTTTCAAAAATTCTTTCTTAACATTACATTAAAACATTCCAAAACATCTCATATTTATAGACATGAGAGGGGAATACAAACAACCACTTCAATGATTTCCCACAGGAATCCAAGCATAACAAACCACGGAAAAGCCCCCCAACCTCACGGGAAACAACCCAGCCAGGGACCTGAAGAGGCAGCCGCGGAAACCCAAGAGGCAAGTACGAAACCAAGGCACCAAAGCACGAGAAAGGCCACCCAGCAGAAAAACCAGCAGCCAACTGTGGAAACCAAGGAGCCAAGGCACGGAAATAGCCAACCGTGGAATCCAACGAGCCAAGGCATGAAAAACAACAAGCACAGGGAATCCAAAATCCATTTTGGAAACCCAAGGGACAAACTACGAATTTTAAGTGACAAAACTGTAAATAAATAACTACATAAATAAGAAAATAAATGAATTAAAACCTAGCTAATAATGAGCTAACCTTTAGTTCAATAAAAGAACTAAAAATTGGCTCATAATGAGCTAAATTTCAGTTCAAAATTTTTTGAGATAGCAAGCTCAAGGGAAGTCAAAACAAAATTTTTTTTTGGGTTTGATTTGACCCCCCCCCCCCCCCTTGCCTACATCAATTATTGAGCATTTTCTCTTTTAAAACCTGAGGGTTTTCTTCTTCTTGAAAAAGCTTGAGAGCTTTGTCCACTTCTTCTTCTCCTCTATTTCGTCTGAGCTTCTTACCTCTTTCTTCTCTACGCAAGTTCCACTCCATTTGTATCCTTCTTCTTGAGCTTTGGGGGTGTTTGTTGGCTTATTTGCATTTGCTGGAGTTTGGCTGAACGTTTGGACCTTCTTGCTGTGGTGGACCATCGGTTTCCTAGCCCTAAGCACATACTTTACTTAACATACATTTCGATGCATGTGAGGAAACCGTTCTGTCGGTTGTTCTGAGGATTGCGACTTTTATTATTTGTTTTGTTTCTTTTAATCTTTCTTCTAGTTTTTATCTGTCGGTTTTTGTGCTAATAGATGATTGCTACTATTTGAATCAAGTTTGGTTATAGTTTTGCCCATTGTTCTCATTGTTTGGCTTTTCTAACTAGTGTGCTTGCAACAAGTAAGGATTAAGTTCAAGTAAATTGTATTAACGATGAAGATCAAAAAGTGCTTTTACTGGAAGAAGATATTCAACAAAGGTGGATGAGATATTTTTATGAACTCTTTAATGAAGATTATGAGAATGCGATATGCTTTGGTGACCTTAGCACTCTAAATAAAAATAAAGATTTTTTTTATTATTGGCGTATTAATAAAACTGAAGTTAGAGTGGGTTTAAATAAAATGAAATATGGAAAAACTGTTGGACCTTATGATATCCGAATAGAGGTATGGAAATGCTTAGGAGAAGAAGGAATTTCATGGCTTAGTAAACTCGAATCAGTGCCGATTTGCATCGAATTTGTTTCGATGAAGCTCGGGGATGTTCAATTGGGTTCGATTTGGATTGATTTTGGTTTGATTTGATCGAGTTGAGTATCATTTGATAAAATCGAATTTAATTTGATTAAATTCTGGTCCAATTTGTGTTAAATTTCGCTCGACAATGGTTAATCAAGTTGATTGAGTCTGATCGAGCCCAGTCAGGCTTGAATCGGCTCAATCGGGGCCTGATCGACATGAAAATAAAGTCAATAGAGTATGCTTAATCATTTGTAGGCTTGACATCATCTTCTAGCTACAACACGTTTTTAAAAAGGTAACCTTTTTGTTAAGCTAAAACAAAAAATAAAATGTAGTGGCAAGGTCTAGTGCAAAAGTTAATACTCATAGTAATTACTCCAACTCAAAATTTGCATGCTTCTCTCTTGAATCCTTTCTTCTCATTGATAAATCTGAATCTCTACAAGTCTTAGGTTTCATTTGGGATGGCTTTCTTACTTCTTTTTAAATTAGTTTTTTAGAATAAATATTTTTTGAACTAAAATTTTTTCTACTAGAAAGCTGTTTTTGAAAGTATTAAAAAAGCTTTCCCAAACGAAACTTTAATCTTCATCTCTCAAACCCTAGGCATGCGTCATTGTAGATTTTAAATTTCAGTGATTCTTCAGCTAGGCTTATTTATGGATGAAGGGTCCTTCTAAATAAACATATTTTTTCTCTAAACATTAAATAACTAAACGGCATTTTATTTTTTTAAAACAAAAAAATAAAGAGGTGACAAATGTATTCTTACAGAACATGTTCAGGGGAATATATTACTTTTTCAATTTTAAAACTTGCTTCGTCTTATCTTTTTTTCAGTTAAATATATATATTTTCGAAGTTCATGCTTAATTCACTGAGATGAAGCATTTCATGCTTTTTCGTTTGAAGACTTTTCACATTAGAGAATCAAATAAACTTAAAATCAATTGCTACTGCAGCTCTAAAGAAATTTTATTAATTCTGCTGAAAAATTTAGTTCAATTTGGTACTTAAATTCTTTTTTAATTGTCTGCTTGTTTATACTGTCCAGGTCATGCAGAAATACCAGAAGTACCTTCCATTGACTGATGAATCAGGCAGCAAGCTACTGCCATTCTTTATAGCTGTGAGGATCTTTATATGTTTCGGAAACATTAATCCATTATCTATTGTGTAACAACTTTAATTTGTTGAATTAAACCCTTTATTAATTGCTGTCTTCTAGGTTGGGAATGGTATTTTAAACGAAAGTGTAGTTCAAAAAGGAAACGAAGCTGTGCTGAGGTTAGAAATTGATTGTTTTCATCCTTGGTGCTTGTTTTATCTTCTTTGGTTACAATACTAGTATGATATTAAAATTTGTTGTGGTCTAAGTAATTTGAAGGCTTCATTGTTTGAAACGAGTGGGATGGTATATAACCTTTTATTCTTACGTTTCTTTTCTTTTTTACATGGTTTGATAATCTTTTTGTTCTTCTTTTATTCATGTTGATACTTAGATTCTTGGTTTTGTAATAAACTGAGTTTTTTTTTTAATCAGAGCTCGCTATGAGGATGCAAGGTTTTTCTATATGATGGATACTAAGAGGAAGTTGTCTGAATTTCGAGGTTCCCTGAATGGCATTCTTTTTCATGTAAGTTGGGCATTTTTATCTGTTGTCTTTTATCAGTTTACTTGTTCTAAAGTTCGATCATTCAAAACGAACAGGAAAAGTTGGGGACAATGCTTGACAAGATTTCTCGTGTCCAGAAGATAGTTACTAAATTAGCTCCTGCACTGGGCATGGGTGAGGATGCTTTTCCTTTTGTTGAAACAGCTGCAGCACTGGCCATGTCCGATCTTGCAACATCAGTTGTGACAGAGTTCACTTCCCTTTCTGGAATAATGGCACGCCATTATGCTTTGAAGGATGGTTATCCAGAGGAGGTAAGTAAATATTTTCTTTAGTACATCTTTTACACTCTTTAGAATATAATATAAATCCGAATATTCTATCGCGTGTTCTATAATGATAAATTTATTTTTTGCCTACAACCTTGTTTCAGATTAAAAAATCTTATAAAAACTGTCATTTAGAGTTCCCTTACAGGCAACTCTGATAAGGTAGGGTTTCTTTTATTCGAAATTAACTGAAAGCTGCAGAACTAAATAGATGAGTGCATGCAATTTCATCTGATGTTGGACAAGCATGTCTTATGTCTTGGATTAGTATTTTAATTGAGTTATCATTGCATGTTTGCTTTTTGTTTATTTATCATCCTTATTTTAAAGTCAAAGATAATATGGTCATTTTTTGGTTGCTTTTTACTTCATATGGTTGTCCAAGGGGCAAATGTAAAAGGCGGTCATGATTATGAATGTATTTTTTGGCTTCTTCCCTATTAATCCAAATTATGTACATTGTTCACTTAATGGTTTTATATGTAGAGTTTTTCTTCATCTCCCTCCCTTTTTTCTTTTCTAAGAATTTCACAGTTCTGTTATAGCAGTCTTTTTCTAATTTTTGCATCAAAGCCAGGTTCTATCATTTCTTCACATCTTTCTATGAATTTTACTACAAAAATTCCCACATTAAAATCCCTTACCGATTGCATTCTTTTATCTGCAATTCTCTAACAACAACATGTTTAACTACCTTGCAATCCTACTTATTCCATAATATCATATAATCCCCCCACTCGATGACCTCATAACTTCCTCCTCTTTGATATACCAAAACCCTATGAAAACCTTATCACACTTCTTAAGATGCAATGCGATTATGAGGCGATTATCTTTCACTATTGAGGCGATTATGACTACATTGATTAAATGCACCTAGATCATTTTATCAAAACATCTGCAATGAGATTACCATAGATCTTTTTACTATAGCAAATGATTATTTCCTGGAGATTTAGTACTTTTTTGGATGTAAAGCTGAAAACTCCCAAATTCTTGGTAGTCTTATGAAACATAACTATGGAAGCAATAGAAGGTTTAAGATTATTCAACAATTAAGTGAGAACGGCATAATCAGCTGCTTGCTATTTGTAGAATTGAAGGATATCATTGTGAGTAGGATGTAGTAGAGATTTATGAGGAATGTGGTTGGAGATGCAGCTGTGGGATAGCCTTGCTAAGTGTGAATGATCAAAGTAGATGGCACTGCTAGGCAGGGCTGGTGAGTGCGATCAAGCAATGCACAACCGGAGTTATAGGCTATGAATGCGAAGATTAATGTGGTGAAATTCCATGTGTTTTTTAGGACTAGTTTGTCTTTTTTATTTTAATCAGGGGTAGTTTTGTCATTTTAATAAGACATGCTTCTAGAAATAGGGCCCAAGTCTTTTAATATTAGATTTGAAGTTAAATAAAAAAATATTTTTCCTTCATCTGTAGGTGTTTATTCACTATTCCAAGGGTTTCTGATGATTTATTCCATTTTCATAATTTCTTTTCCTTATTTTTGCGTTGTGTGCATTTAGTTTGGTCATCATGGAATATCTTCTAATCGTAATGTTATTCTTATCTTTTATAATCATGAATATAAAATGATATATTCTAAACTCTACTGCATGAAAAGAATTATATTCATGAGCTAAGGAACCTTAATGCTTGAAGATTGCAGAAGCACTTTTCGAGATCACTCTTCCCAGATTTTCGGGGGATTTACTTCCAAAAACTGATGCGGGGATAGTTTTAGCGATCGCTGACAGGTAATCATTTCTGTTTCATTAGTCTTTGCAGGAATGTATATAATCTACTTGATTGTATTTGTTCTTTTTGCTTACAGAGCCTAAAGCCTCACTAAGCTAACCGTCAAACCATAGAATGTGTATAAACCACGTATACTTGTGCTAGAGATTGCAATTTTGAATACTCATGTTTTCATTGAAAGGGAATTATAAACTAATTAAATATTATATAAATATGAAATGTTATACAGTATCAGAATTCTTAGAACCTTAGTCCAAATATTCCCCCTAAAACCTACTAAACTTGTAGTTTGTTAAATTAAAATTAATTATCACCATTAATAAACCATTCAAACCTTATTTTAGAAGCGTAAACCGCTTATTTTAAATGCCATTGTTTTTTCAAAATGGCATGTAATTTGCTAAGATATCTTTGTGGTCGGCTTCACATTCTTAAACCTTGGCAGTCGATAAACATTTAGAACATTCTAATGAATGCAAGCAGGTGTTAAAGACACGGATGCTTGAAATTATTTATGGAAATTAGAATGGTATAAAAAGCAAATGATGACATTGTAATCATGATTTGTCATGTAATTCTGCTAAACATAGCAGTCGGGAACAAATATGGTTACTTGGTCTTAAACTATCCGATGAGAATAATCAAGTCTTTATAAAAATTTCTTATCTCATGTTTGGTTTAATATTCTGTATTTTGTTGAGATCCCAAGCGATACTATGCCTAGCTGGGTTGAAATTGTGCCTCATTTTAAGATCCCTAAATGAAACTATGCTTGCTTAGGTTGTCATTGTGCCTTTTGCCAAAATTCTGAATGAAATTATATCTAAATGGGCAGACATGGAGCTTTTTGCTGAAATCCCTTGTAAACAAAAGATTGAACTCTATGTTGGCAGAGAAAAAAAGAGCTCCCAAAAATCCCTTGCAAGGTTGTCTTTGTCTGTGCGTGCCATGACTCTTTGTTCCAGAATACCTATAAAATTCTACTTGCGCAGATACTATTATGGTTACACATGCATTACAATTTTGAAAATACAAGAGTAGTTATACCTGCATTACTTTAATAACCCGAACCCATGGGTCGAAGAGTTGAAGAAGACGAAGGAGACAGAGAGGCTAAACTTTGTAGTTGATCTGTGGATTGAAGACGAGGGAAATGAAGAGACTTGTTCGTTCAATCGGTATTGTCGTTGATTTGATACCTAGTGTTAAATGAGGCGAAGTAGAATAACTATTTCCATTGTTTGGGAGTTTCTTTATGCTTATGCAAGAAGACGAAGGGAACGATGAGCTTGTCATTTTGTTTCCGTGAGGAAGGTGAGCAGCTCGGGTTGATTTCATCATTTGGAGTCTTTGTTTAAAATTGCGCAATTGGAGGCGCGCCTTTGCGCAATTCAGCCCTCAAGCGCCTTAAAGCCCACGTAATTCTGGCTCCAGATGAGGCATACGCCTCACGGGTCTAGAGGAGCGCCTCTAAGGCGCTATTGCGCAATTTTATGTGAGGCGTACACCTCTTTAAACTAGGTCCCACCTACTTAAAATGACATGTTTCTCATGTTAAACCATTCGGCTCCAGTGAACTGAAAAAAATCATCCCGCAAAGTTCCGCACGGGCTCCGTTCGCAGAAGCTCTGCTCGCTGTCAGCCGCCTCTCCCGCCAGCATAACCTCACGCCTGTGATCAAGAAAGGTCTGGCCGCCATCTACAAGCACTCCATTATAGGTTTTAGGTATTTTTTTTAAGTTCAAGAAAAGTTTTTTTTTAAGTTATAGAAAATCTAGGATTTTCTATTTTTTGAGATTTTTTGTATGTTTTCGCATTTGTGCATTAGGAAATATTGTTAGGGGAAAGGAAAAGACAGATACGTCATTGCGGCGTGACCCTTCTTGGAAATACAGTGTACAAGTTGATGTTGGAGGCGGCGAGAAGACGTATGTGTATTTAAAATACAATTTTTGTGAGAACGTGGCGAAGGGCGGAGTAACCCGCATGAAGGAACACTTATTATGCTCTCATATTATCGCAATCCTCAATTTCAATATTCAGAGAGGAAATCTTCAAACCCAGAGGTGAAGCTTGGTCTGTATCATTGCATGGAACGACTAATACCGGAGTAGACAGATAGGGAGCTTGCAGATTTACAACTTTTTCTATTTCGGAATAAAAAAGGTTTTTTTGGTTTGCATGCAACAAAATCAACGATTGTCAAACGGTCTCCAGGTATATTTATTTTGGTAAATGCAAGACACTTTATTAAGTTTTGATTATTATTTTTCTTCTTGAAAACAGTTGAATGGTGGATTTAATTTGGTGATTCCACCCCTGAGTTACAGAGTTTTGCTGTAAGAGTTTTGGGCCTCACTTGTTCTTCTTCTGGGTTTGAGCGAAACTGAAGTACATATAGTTAAGTGCAAACAAAGAGAAGAAATCGGCTATCAACACTCAGAATGAACTCCCTTGTATATATTATGCACAACAAGGGGTTAAGAGATAAGAGGTTGAGGAATAAGGGGTTGAAGGATGATGAGGATCCGTTGGTGTGTGATGATGTGCCATCTGATAATGAGTGTTTTATAGATGATGAGACAAGTTTGCCATTATCAGACTTACAGCTAGAGGATCTAAGTGTGGATGTCTTGAGGGGCGAAGCAGATCAAGTGGGCACATCCACTAGTACCACACCACACACATCCACTAGCTCTGCAGCACAACAATCAAGTAAAAGTATTCCACAACTTCTTATTATGCTATTGCATTATATTTATATCAAGTGAGCAATTAACATGATAATGAATTAATGATCATTCTTATTGAACAGGGAAGCGAAAAGTGAGTCATATTGAAGATGATGAAGATATGACATTCATAGATACAATTGGAGAAGAAGATTCCCTTGAAGACCCATTTAGTGATGGAATATGATTTAATTTTATATGTTCTTTCTTAATTGTACTTTGGGAGTTCTGATAGACTATAATTTTGTGGTTTTGTAGTTTGGAACATACTTTTATTGCATCTCTTTTCTTAATTTTCACTAACTCCACTTGTCATTTAGATGTTTTTATTGTATGATAGAATCTTGCTATTATTTACTTGCTAAAATCCTTAAATTCTCATTTACTCAATTCTGCGTCCGTGAGGCTTATGCCTCAGACCGCCTCGAGGCTTATTTAGGAAAATTTAAACCTTGTTTGGAGTCATGGTCGTTACTATAAAAACTGAGAGATAAGTTAGAGATGGGCTGAGACGGGGGAGACCGAGAGAAAAGGAAAGGAGTCGAGAGCACGGACAAGTGTTTGGGGTTGGCAAAGGACAATGAAGGCAAGGGCTCGGGATGGGCTCGATCGATCGGTTATTGGAATGAAAAAATGTGTAATTTAATTTAGAAATCTTTTTATTAAAATTTTATGAAATAGATTAATTTTGAGAATTTTAAATATTAATAATAATAAACTTTGAATGAAATTATGCATTTACAAGTAGAAATTTATTATGATTTAAATATTATAAATGTATACATGTATATGTGTGTTATTTAATGAAAAAATTATTTTGTAATACTAAATTTAAATATCAGTTATTTAAAGAAAGAAAGTTTATATTTGATTAAGATTTTAATCAAGAATTTTTAATTAAAAAAAAAGAGACGACAACATCAAGTCTTTATCCCACTGTGGGGTCTGCTATATGAATTTTTTTTTCTCAATTGGGTCATGTTAATAATCAAATTCTTATTTAAATTTAAAAAATAAAGATCATTTCTAATATTTTCTAATCAAGTCTTTTTTTAGGTCTATCTTTACTTTTCTTAATATAAGTCAAATCTTATATATCTACTTTCCTAACCGAGTCATTGGAATGCTGCTTTTTTATGTGACCAAACCATCTAAGACGACTCTATTTAATCTTTTCGTGTATATGCTCATTTGTCTCGAAGAGTAAAGCCACTTATCCACCCGAGCACTCTCATCTCTGCAATACTTAACGTGATGTTATGCTTCTCTTTTAATGGACAACATTCTGCATCATAAAGCATTGCCTTTCTCACCATCCTCTTATAGAATTTTCCTTTAAGTTTGAGGAGGAATTTTCTATCACACAATAAGCTTGATGCACTCTACCTCAACCATCCAACTTGAATTCTACTAATATCCTCTTCTATTTCACCGTCACCTTGAATAATAGAGCCACGATATTTAAAACATGTACTCTTAGACTTGATCGTTTAAAGTCACAATCCACACACTATATCTATTATTATTAAAATTACACTCTATATATTCAATTTTAGATCTACTCAAATAAAATCCTTTAGACTCTAAGGTTGATCTCCATAATTCAAGTTTACCTTCAACTTCTTCTTTAGTCTTATCAACAAGAAGAATATCATTAACAAAAACATACACCAGGGTACAACCTCTTGCAAATGTCTTGTGAGAACATCCATGACTAAAACAAAAAGATATGGGCTTATGATGTAAAACGTACATGCGAAGATGAATTACTTTAATGTTATTTGCACGCTTAATATTTAGAGCACAATAATTATAAGCTTTATATTGATTTTAAACGACAAAAGAAAACACAATAAGCGGTAAGACAAACTTAGGCTGAATCACACGCGTAAGAGTTAAGATCATAAAACAATCAAGTCAATCTAATGTTGCATACATGAATGGCTTCAACAAGAAATCCCTACTCTAACAATAAGACTAGTCACTACAAGGAGATCCTTCACTCAACTTATCTACTTAAAAGGGTTTAGCGGAGAGAGTGACGTGAATCTTCATGAATAATTTATAAACCACAATTGAAAAGTGACTAAGAGATTTAAGGATTTGGAGGAGAGTTTACCCAAATAATCAGAGAATACGAAGCTTCCAATTTGATCACCAAGGCACTAGATGAAGAGCAATCAGCAACGTCAAGGCTTCGACACTGTTAGGAAGGTGATCATTGACTTCTTGGACAGCAGGGCAGCAAGAATATGGCCACCAAACTG